GGCTATAAAATTGGGAGTAAACAAAAGAAAATAAAGTTTTTTAAAAAAATGGTTAAAAACAGTCTTACACGAATTTTTGGACCCATCAACGTTCAACACGGGAAGGAAAAATGAAAAGAAATAGTGAAAACAAAAAAGGGTTTTGGGACCCTTTTTCACGCCTTCGGGCGAAGGGGGCCCAAAACAGGGCTAAACCAATTTCTGACAGTGAAATATCTAAAGCGTGGATAAAGGGACTGAGTCTGCTGACAGTGAAATATCTAAAGCGTGGATAAAGGGACTGAGTCTGCTGACAGTGAAATATCTAAAGCGTGGATAAAGGGACGGAGTCTGCTGACAGTGAAATATCTAAAGCGTGGATAAAGGGACTGAGTCTGCTGACAGTGAAATATCTAAAGCTGATAAAGGGACGGAGTCTGCTGACAGTGAAATATCTAAAGCGTGGATAAAGGGACGGAGTCTGCTGACAGTGAAATATCTAAAGCGTGGATAAAAGGACGGAGTATCTAAAGCGTGGATAAAAGGACGGAGTCTGCTGACAGTGAAATATCTAAAGCGTGGATAAAGGGACGGAGTCTGCTGACAGTGAAATATCTAAAGCGTGGATAAAGGGACGGAGTCTGCTGACAGTGAAATATCTAAAGCGTGGATAAAGGGACTGAGTCTGCTGACAGTGAAATATCTAAAGCGTGGATAAAAGGACGGAGTCTGCTGACAGTGAAATATCTAAAGCGTGAATAAAAGGACGGAGTCTGCTGACAGTGAAAGATCTAAAGCGTGGATAAAATGACGGAGTCTGCTGACAGTGAAATATCTAAAGCGTGGATAAGGGGACTGAGTCTGCTGACAGTAAAATATCTAAAGCGTGGATAAGGGGACTGAGTCTGCTGACAGTAAAATATCTAAAGTATGGACAAAGAGACTGAGTGGTGTCAACAAAGCGTGAACAAAGGGATTGAGTGTGTTGACAATGTACCGTATAACACATGGACAAAAGGATTCAGTGCGTTGACAATGAACCATCTAAAAAGATATTCAGTGTGTTGACAATTGAATCTATAAAAAGTTGGCATTAGACCAGTGTTGCTGACAGATCTCTAAAACTAGCAAAAGATCACACTTGGCTGAACATAATCTTAGTGTCTGTCGCGTACGTAAAGAAACAATAAGAGATCTCAGGCCATGCACCCAATGGCACTCCAAGATCAGATGGTATCTGGTGCGAAAACAAATTTCCAGCCCCCCCCACCCCCTTTTCCCCCTCTGCACATACACATTTTTAATGTAGTTTTGTCACCCCCGGTTTTGTCAACCCTTCAGTGATGACCCCCAGTGCGACCCGCACGCTTCTTTAACTGCCACTGACAACACGCAACTCCCTGTCTTACAAATATTCTAACTTCATCTTTCTTCTTCGCCTTTCAAAGGTGTAAACTCCGGCGAAAAATTCGTGTTGTTCGTCCGTTTTGCAGATCTGACTCGTTTGCAAACAGCTGTTAGTTCCTTGCCTATCAGATAGGTGCACTCCGACTTTGAAAGAAGCTCCCAATTAGTCGACTTTTACGACATGCGTGTATTCTTGTTTTCCCTACAACAGGACCCCGGAACCTACATGGGGGATTTTCTAAGAAGAATTTGGCTCTCCTTTCCCAGTGGGCCCACTCTAAAAAAAAATGTTAAGAGAGAAGGTATGAGGCGCCAAAGACCCTTAGGTTCTGGTGCCTGTGGTGTTTTGTGGATGCTGAATCATCTCGGTGTCTTCTATCACTCAAATGATTTGACGTTCCAGTACAGATCATATTTGAGCTCAGCGAAAGGATGGGAAGCTTTGCAACACGTCTCCAGACTGGTACCAAACTTCCAGTTTTTTTTTCTGGAGCCTAGAAAAAGTTACGCATCATATTCTTCTTCTTTGTTCACCTGCTGTAAGCTCCGCGGCAAGTCCTGATTGTTCGTCCATTTTTTGGACTTTGGCTTTGTGCCAGGCCCTGAGTTTTGCATGTACATCCGTTTTACTGGCCGATCTGTGCTCAGCTGGTTGTTCTTTGCCAACTCGGGAAGAAGATGTCCGACTTTAAGGGAAGTGCCAAGTTAGTCGACTCCTACGACACGCTTGTTGGGGAGGCTAGTTGGTCTATTGTAGTTTTTCCCCAATGGGGTCCCGGAACCCATACGGGGGATTATACATCAGTGCACCAGTCATAAGAGTCAACAACTTTGTCTTTAAACACAGTAACCTGGCATCTGTGGCTTAAGCGTTGCGAGCCCGCCTCGTAATTCTGAGGTACCCAGTACGATTCCACATGTGGGTGATTTAGCATCAGATCACGCTGCGTTGATTTTAGGAATGGTATTGAGCCCTGTCCGTTCAGTAGTAAGCAAAGCAAAAATTGTCTAATAAAACCTAACAGCAAGAAATGGTGTGCTAACTTTTAAAACGTCCTGTAAAGGATACGAAATTAACTTCTAGCCTATCTAGAATGTTTCTAATGTCTTTATTGTTGCCATCTCTCGTCCCCCCCCCCCCTTTCCCTACCTTGCCATCCTCCTCCTTCTCTTTCTTCTTCTTCTTCTTCTTCTTCTTCTTCTTCTTTTTCTTCTTCTTCTTCTCCTCCTCCTCCTCCTCCTCCTCCTTCTTCTTCTTGTAACTTGTATAATTTGACCATGTCCGGGGATATGTTAATGATCCCCGGTTGACTATATTCCACAGATACCAGGAATGGACGCACAAAGTCTGCTGGTGACGATTCTCGTAGTAACATCAACAGTGACAAATATGCACGCCAAGACAGTCGTGTTCTTTCCCCCACCACGCACCAGTTACATCGTCTACCACACCAATGTGGCTGCAGCATTGGCCAGTCTGGGCCATGATGTGTGGCTATGTGTGCCAGAGTCCCACCTCAAGAGAAGCTTGGTCAAGGACACGTCGGTCAACCTCCTATCATACGGGCGACATTTGGGCGATCTTGAAAAGCGGAACTTTGAAAACAGTAGGATTGTGGAAAGATTCTGGGACAGAGAACCAACAATGGGGATACACTCTCTTTATCTAGTTTCTCAATTTTTCAATAAAATCGCAAAGGAGATTCTCGATGACAAAACCTTTATAGACAAAGTGAGAAATCTGAATCCCGATTTAATTGTCATAGAATCGATTCCGTTCAACATGAACATGGTGGTACTTCCTTACATGCTGGACATCCCCTTTGCTTTTATTGGAACTGTTCATGAGGCGATCATGTCAAAAGTTCCCTTTAGTCCTGCAGTCACGCCCTATTTCATCGACTTCGTCAGTGACCAGATGACATTTTTCCAAAAAGTTTTCTTTACAATCTATTACGTAGTATCTATAAACTTTGACATTTTCCACGACAGCAGCCTGGTGTCTAAGTTTGCTCCACACAAACCTTACAAGTCCATCTACGATCTCGCTGCCAATGCTGAACTTTTTATTGCAGAAGTTGACTACATACTGGACTACCCACGGACAATGCTACCCAACACTAAACTGATTGGAGGCTCTTCTGCCTCTCCCGCAAAGCCATTGGTCGGAGAGTTCCAGAAGTTTGCGGATGAGGCCAAATCTGGCCTTATTGTCATGTCTTTCGGCGGGTATTTGGTTAATATACCTCCTGAAATCTTCACCAAGTTCGTTTCTGCTTTTAAACAGCTCGATCTTAGAGTGGTGTGGAAAGTAAACATGACCTCACCTGACCCCAGACAAATCCTAACCTCCTTGTGGATACCTCAAAATGACCTTCTAGGACACGACAAAGCCAAACTGTTTGTGTCCCACTGTGGGAAAAACGGGCAGTACGAGGCTCTCTACCACGGAGTGCCCATTCTCTGTCTGCCCATTTATGGAGACCAAGCCTACAACTCAGAAAGAGTCCGGGTGAAACAGCTGGGACTCTACACCGATATGCGTGATGCCAGCGCAGACGAACTGGCAGCCATGATGAAAGAAATAATCTACGGGGGGAAATACGCAGAAAACATGAAAAAAGCTTCCAGACTTTACAGAGAATTGTACAAGCTTCCAAAACATGAAGCGGCATACTGGCTGGATCACGTGATAAAGTTTGGTGGAGACTACATGAGGTCGTCAGGTCAACAGATGCCCTGGTATCAAATTTTAGTGTTAGATGTGATTGCATTTCTTATCATCATCGTTGTCTTTATCTTGCTAGTGTTCTACGTCCTTATTAACATCTGCTGCAGGTTGTACAAGGGAAGTCACCGGATCAGGAAAGTCAAATGCAAACGAAAATAATTCAGCGCTATTAACAATCACAAGTTAGAACGTGATAAGGAATTAGAAGAATGCTCAATAGTTAAATCAGTTAATCAGTTAAAATTTAAAGGCAAAAGGGTCACCCAAAACAGGCTCCAGCTGACGGGCCATGCTGCTGACGCCACCAAACCGGGCTATGTAACGTCAGCAGCATGGCTGGTCAGTTGTAGCCGGTCTTGGGTCACCCACAGTTGGTCGTTGCAGTGCCGACGAAAACCTCAAAAATAACATACCTTATAGAGTAAAGGTCTCTTTTCCATGCATATAGGAGTATTGTGTGTATAGTGCGAGATCTATGTTTGATAGGCCAATCGACATTCGGTAGGTAATTTACTCAACATCACGCCCTTGCCTTTGACTTCACCTTCCATACTTTACCTGGTACACATTTTAGGCGGGGTCGACCAGGAGGCGAGGTCATTTCTAGAAGAAGAAAAAATTACTCAATTCTTATTTGAACCCACGACCAGGCAGACATCAGAATTACTAACACTAACACTCCGCTATTAGAAATGCAATTCATTGTCGATGAAAGTGACAGTTACAACAAATCAGCACCATCATCGCCAGTTACACTTTCCAATGAAAAAAATGCATAATTTTGCTGTTTATAATTACTGTTGACTATTACAAATACGAAACTCGATTTACGTATCTATCCTAGCGAAAAGGTCGCTGGCTGCATGCTGACGCCTCTCAACAGAAGCTGTAACGTGTGAAAGCTACCAGTTACTTTTGCTAAGTTGCTACATCCGCACGAATCTCTCAACTGAGAAGTGACGATGGGAAAACGCACTATCGCATAAGATACAACCAGTTCTGTGGGAACTGTCCACTCGCCATTTCCTGAAACTGCAGTTTTCAACACAACCCACACTGGATCACAAGTAAAAAGCAATTTAAATTAAATGCGTGCCTCACAGTGTCGCACCATGCATTCAGCTGAGAAGCTGAGCGAGGGGATTGTATACTCTACTTGTGGAAGAAAATGCAACAGCTAACTATGGTTAGAAGCAAATCAGGGCCGTCTTGATAACATTAAGGGCACAAAAGCAAAACGAGTGTGCTGAGACCTCTACGACATCCACTCACAGGAATTAAATGCAACTGGTCGATAATATTAAGCAGAAGCAACGGTTTTCAGTTCACGGAATAACGAAAACAGATTTTAAATCTGTGAATAAGCCTCTGCACGTATTGTCGCTTCAAATATTAGAGTATACAGACATGACCGTTACTGGAGACGGGCATGGTCCAGAATAGTAAAGTAAAAGTAAAGATCCCTTTTTACGCCTTAGGCGCATCGGACATATGGGAAGAGCACCCATATTTTTACAGATCAATCGGCACTAGGTGGGTAATGCGGTCAGCTTCACGCCGACATACATCCTGGTACCCATTTAGACTGAGTCGAATGAGACACCCCATACCATAATAAAAATCCGCGCAGGTCCAGAATAGGGAGAAAAGTTTCCACCTTGAACTTTTCAGTTTTACTGAGAAGTACATTTTCTCGCAGTTCCGCTGATCCGCCAAATCTACTAAGACGCAGACTATGATGTCGTTTATGTTTTTTCCCATCACTGTAATTTGTATCTGGGCATATACTCCTGGCTTTGAACTTATTTTCACTAAATTTGTCTTTAGTTTCCCGGAGAAAGGTTTTCAAAGACTTAACAAGAATGTTTATATCGTTTGATTGCAGGATTTTGCTTGTTTTATTTATTCTTTCTTGCATGTCATTTCAAAGAATCTTTTTCCAGCCTTTCTATGTGTTGTTGTTACTGCCTAATCCGCCTGCCTCTCTCCTTGTATTCATTGGCTGTTCATTGCCAACTGATAGAGATTCCTGTGTATGTTTTATATTTTCGAAACCTCATTCATTCACAGCATCCAAATGTGTTGACCAGTGTGTGGCAAACAGACGTTTGACAACATCTTTTCATAAAAAAAAAAAAAAAAAAAGAACGACTTGGCTTCCGTTTAATATGTAGAACTAGGCACGGCAGAATGTTTAGATTCGAAGTTAGTTTTGCTTCCGACTGCAACAAATCTGCGCTTTGCTAATGCACTGTCTACATATGGACGCAGGTCTACGGTTTCGCTGCCTAAGCTACTTAGTTTAGTGCTTAATGCAGCACTGTGAGCTGTATTTTTCCTGTAAAATGTATTTCATTTGTACAGTGGCTGAGAGGTGGTATTCAATATAGCGGGTAACCGGTTTACGAGTTCGCTGGTGAAATACCGTATGTAATAATTTTACGTCTGTATAGCCAGCTTTTCATGTACAACTACTTCCATCAATGACAAACTGCATATCTGGTGGCGACAGTTGGTTTTGGCGCCTCCAGCAACCGCCACATTTATTTACTGAGATCGCATATTTCTGAATTGTAACGGGACTATTTGTTTGTTCATCGATTTTACAAATGCAACAGTGGGGGCATTTCATCTAAATTTTGGTCGCACAGGAACGAAGCAAGTATGGGGTGACCCGATTGCGGTGAAGTTGAAACTTCGACTAATCATCATCAGTTCTCGTTATGCCTGGTGGCACATGAGGCTTCAGAGAGAACTTTCCATGCTTTCCTGTCCTGTGCAATCTTCAGTGCAGTTTTCCATGTCAAAGATGCCGCACTCAGGTCACTTTCCATCGTTCGTCTCCATGTTGTTTTTAGGCGCCCCTGTTTTCTTTTTCCTTCTGGTGTCCATGTGAGAGCTGTTTTGGCAGGTATATCAGAAGTCATTTTCATAACGTGGCCAAGCCATTTCCATCTTCTCTTGGTAATCATACTGTCTAAAGTTTCTTGGTTTGTGGCTTGAAGTAGTTTAATGTTAGAGATTGTATCTGGCCAGAAAAGTTTGATAATTCTACGTAGACATGTGTGGTGTATGGTGGACAGCTTGTGTGCATCATTTTTAGTCATTCTCCAGCATTCCGCTCCATAAAGAAGAACTGGCAAAATGATGTTCTTGTAGAGTCGGAGTTTCGTTCCTCTGCAGTAATTGTTGGATTTCCAGATTTGCCTCATCTTTCCAAAAGCAGCTCTAGCTTTGTTCAGACGTGACTGTATGTCTTCCTCTGTCCCTCCCAGTAGGGACATCACACTGCCAAGATATGTGAAATGAAACCTTGACTAAGACTAAGACTTTTTCCTAAAGATGATGTCAATACAAGGTCCGACAATTAAATAATGAGAATAATTCCATACAAATTAAAATAATCAACAGTTGAAGATATAAACTGTATCTGATTCAAAGTAAGCCCCTTGTGCATTGATACAGCAAGCAGCACGATCTAACAAAAACTGGAACGACCTCTATAGTTCTTATGTTGTGATGGCCCTGAAAATCGATGTTACGGACCATTGGATGTCATCAGTTTAACACAGGTTATGAAGAAATTATGGGGAGACATGGTCTAGGAGTAATGAATGAAAATGGGGAATTGTTCACAAATTGTTGTGCAGGTAACCAGTATGTTATTGGTGGAAGTATTTTTCCCCATAAAAAAAAATACACAAGCAACATGGGAATCACCAGACCATAAGACAACTAATCAAATTGACCACATATGTATTAACAAAAAGTTTAGATCATCCCTTTACGATGTTAGGGCTTTCAGAGGTGCCGATGTATTTACTAACCATTTCCTGGTGATAAGTAAAATCAAGTTGAAACTAAAAAGATACATAACATCTAATAATCATAGAAACCAATATAATGTAGGCTTTCTCAGAGATAAAGAAATTAAGGAACAGTTCTCAGTTACGGTCTCTAATAAGTACCAGGTGTTGCAGCAGTTAGCTGAAGATGTCAACACAGAAGTCTGCTGGGATCAGATCAAAGGAATCTGGAATGAAATCTTGCGTAGAAGTTCTTGGCAAGAAAACATAAAGCATGGATAACACCAGAAACCATTAAACTGATTAAGATAGGAAAAGTAAAAAGGCAGAATTAAACAATAGCAAAACTAGAGCTGCTAAAGCTAGAGCTCAGGAGAATTACACAGAAGCCAACAAGGAAGTTAGGAGGCTTATAAGGGCAGATAAAGTGAAATATCTAAATAATCTAGCACAAGAAGCGGAGACAGCAGCAGCAAAAGGAAACCTCAGAGAACTTTACAGTAACACAAGAAAATTAGTAGGTAAATATAGTCAGCCAACTGGATCAATCAAAAATAGTCAAGGAAAGGTACTTACTAACACTAAAGATCAAATGAACAGATGGGTTGAAATTTTTGAAATGCTTCTAAATAGACCAGGCCCAGAGGTTCCCCCAGATATCCAGCCTTTAGAAATGGAACTGGATATCAACTGTAAGATACCATCCAAATAGGAAATTAGAAAAGCTATAAATCTTCTTAAGGAAGGAAAGGCGTCAGGCCCAGATGGTATCCCAGCTGAAGCCATCAGGACCAACATAAACACATCAACAGAATTGCTACATAGATTATTCAGTAAAGTCTGGGAGACCGAAGAAATACCAGCAGACTGGAGAGAAGGATATCTTGTGAAACTGCCCAAAAAAGGTGATCTACAGGAGTCTGAAAACTATAGAGGAATTATGTTGCTGTCAGTTCCTGGAAAAATATTAGGTAGAATTATTTTGGAAAGATTAAAAGATGCTATTGATAAAATGCTAAGAGATGAGCAGGCAGGTTTTCGGTCAAACAGATCCTGTACTGATCAGATAGCCACATTACGTATTATAATGGAGCAAAGCATTGAACTGAACTCACCACTTTACATTGGATTTATAGACTATGAAAAAGCATTTGACAGCATTGATAGGGAATCTCTCTGGAAATTGATGGGGCACTATGGAATCCCACAGAAAATTATCAACTTAGTAAAGGCAACATATAAAAACATGAAATGTCGAGTTCTTTATGAGGGAAAGCTAACAGATGCATTTGAAATAAAAACAGGTGTGCGACAGGAATGTCTTTTCTCGCCTCTCTTATTTTTACTGGCTAT